CATCATCTATCATCATCATCATCATCATCATCATCATCATCATCATCATCATCATCATCATCATCATCATCATCATCATCATCATCATCATCATCCTCTCCTCTCCCCAGTCCCCCTCATTTTGCCCGAGGGCGCAAGTCATGGCGCCTGCACTGCGTTGTTCGTGCCCATCCCGCAGACGCCCTGCTGGAGGACGTAAAGCGTAAAGTTCTCCCCGAAGAGCTCGTTTTGTGCGAACGTCTCCCGGTGAATCTTGGGCGCCAGGTGAAGGATGAATATCTTCGAGGCTCCTGCTCAGCATGAATGAAGGGACCCGATCCTGGAAGGTTTTCGCCCCTCTCGAACCCGCAGGGCACTCCAGGGGGGGGGGGGGGCGGGGCCGTCAACATACTCTCGCGGACGAAAACTGATCCTGAGGATTAGCCGCGGTCCAGGACCCGCCTCTTGTCGGGTGCGCGCCGAGGGAGGTACGACGAGGGGGGTGGGAGCAGGATGGGCCCAGGCACGTGCCGGTCTCGGGTGGTGCAGGGAACGTCTTGAAAGCAGAAGGGAAGCCAACACATGCTTGGAGGGGCAGAATCCGCCCCCCAACCACCCCCCACCCCCCCTTGGATCCGCCGGATCGGCGGGCAGTGCTGTCGGAACGGGTGGAAGGGCGGGGGATGGCGGAGGAGGAGGAGGAGGGAGGAGGAGGAGGAGGAGGAGGGAGGAGGAGGAGGAGGAGGGAGGAGGAGGAGGAGGAGGAGGAGGAGAGGGGAGAGGAGGAGGAGGAGGAGGAGGAGGAGGAGGAGGAGGAGGAGGAGGAGGAGGAGGAGGAGGAGGAGAAGGAGGAGGAGAAGGGGGAGGAGGAGGAGGAGGAGGAGGAGGAGGAGGAGGAGGAGGAGGAGGAGGAGGGGGAGGCGAAGAGGAGGAGGAGGAGGAGGAGGAAGAGGAGGAGCAGCAGGAGGAGGGGGGGGAGATGGGCGAGGTCCGTCGAAAGGTTGGACGCCCACTCCTCGGTTCACATCCCACCCAGAGTACACATGCACGCACTCCTAGTCTTATGTCGGGCGTGTCCCCCTACAGGGGGATTTTCGACGAAACATAAAATATACCCGCAAAATGCCCCAAACAGATAGAACAATATTCAAAAAATAGTCCCCATACTTTTTGCGGATCAGATATTTGGGGATTATGTTTGGGTTATGTTTTTTGTTCGTCGGCAATCCCCCTGTAGGGGGACAGGCCCGACTGAATCCTAGTCCTCACCCTACTCCCCTTCCGACGATCCTCAGAACATGTGCTTGCGCCAAGAGAAGCCACGGGGGCCCAGGAAACCCGATTCCCCCAGGCACCGCCCGACCCCTCTCGACCACGAGCGGCCTTCTGCGGCGCCCTGCGCCGCTCCCCGTCCCCGACTTCCCAACGCCCCCAGCTCGTCTCGCCGCCGTCGCCATCCTCCCCCTCGCCGTCGACGTCGCAGCCAGCTGGCGGAAGAGACCACTGCAGGAACAGATCCTTTCGAAGCTCCGCGCGGACTTTTTCGACCGGCGCTGGACCTCCCTGCCAGCACCTCCGTCGCCGCGCCGCCCTGGGCTTGCTCTGCGCGCCGCCCGGGGGGGGGGGGGGCGGGCCCGGCGGCGATCCGAGAAGTCTGCACAGAGCTCCGAAATGCTGGTGGTCATATTCGGCGTCGAGCGAGGGGGGGGAAATGAGAAGGAGAAGGGGTTCTCAGAAGGCGGCGGGACTTCTCAGACGCCCCCCTCGCGCCATCTGAGAATGTTCTCTCTTTTCGGGGGAGGTTGTGAAAACTTCTTGGAAGGCCGGGGGGCTTCCGAGCTTTCTGAAAGGGCCTTCTCCTTCTCACTTCCCCCTTCGCTAGCCGCCGACATATGCGGGACGGACGCGGGAAACGCGGCTGGCCTTCGCGACCTTGGTCCGGGTCCGGCTCCTCCTCCTCCTCCTCCTCCTCCTCCTCCTCCTCCTTCTCCCCCCCATCCTCCTCCTCCTCCTCCGCCTCCTCCTCCTCCTCCTCCTCCCCCTCCTCCTCCTCCTCCTCCTCCTCCTCCTCCTCCTCCTCATCCCTATCCTCATCCTCATCCTCATCCTCCCCCCCCCCCCCATGCAGACTCGCAGTGTGGCCGCGAGAGCGCGGGTCGAGAGCACGGGGCCCTCCGCCGAAGGCCCGAGGCACCCCACGGAGGCACCCCGCACGGAGGCGGAGGGCCGGGGCGCGGAGAGCGGACGGGTGGCCCTACAGGATCTCTGGCTGCTCTCGGCCCTGGAGCCAGCTGCAGAGGAACGACTTCCTACGCCGCGAAGATCTATACACGGACGCCCTCCGACGAACTCCCCGCGTATCCTCAGGGGGGGGGGCTGCGGGGGGGGGGAGGGGGGGGCGAAGGCCGCTGGCTCCCAGTGGTGATGCAGACACCGCCACCCTCCCCTGAGGCCCAGGAACAATCCATGGCAGGATGTCTATTTTTATCTATTCTGGTGGCGGATTTCCCGAACCACCACGCGGAGGGAGAGGAAACGGGGGCCATGACCAAGACTGAACGCGGAAACGCCGTGTCGATATTGGTCACAGTCGGTCTTGATCGGCATCATTTCGTGGACAATCCCCGCGCATCGGCTTCGACCAGCATGGACAATGACCGAGACCGGCGTCAACAAAATCCCACGGCATCTTGGTCTTGGCCCTCGTGCTGCTCCCTCGATCCAGTACCGTGATCTTTTCCAGGCGTGGGGCCCCGAAGCTGCATCGGCGGTGCGGCGCGATCCTCTGACCCCATCTGCTCTAGACCCACGTTGGGGGGTCTGGACGTCTTCAGCCAGAACGAGAGGAGGCGTCAGCGAATCGGTTCCCGCAGCTGGTTTTTCTCCAGCGCCGTCCAGCGCCAGCGGCGCCGATGTATATAGAAGAAGGCTCTCGGCGGCAGAACTACCGGCCGAAACCTGCTGCTTGCAGCAGGTTTCGTCCCCCCCTTCCAAATCCGCTCCTCTTGGCCCCACTTTAGCAATCCCTGGCCCTCTGGGGCAGGTCGGCTCTGCTCACGGCAGCGACCCGGGAGGAACCGCCTGCGGGCGAGCCGTTATGGCCCTCCTCACCCATGGGTCTCTGGCGGCCGTCCAGAACGATTCGGACACCCCAGGAATGCTCCTGGCGAGACGCAGCTGCTGGAAAGCATCCCGAGGCTGGCCAACCGTCCAGGGCCGACGACGTCCGAAAACATGCCCTGCCCCCCCCCCCACCCCCGACAGAGTCCGGAGCCGACGGCCTCCCCGAGGGGGGCTCCTGCCAGGTACGGGATGCGCCGGAGCCACGCCCTCGGGGGGGGCGGCGCGTCGGCGGGCGCGGGGGGGCGGGCCCGCCGGCCGGCGCAGCCCGCGCCCCCGCAGGATAGCGGCAGGCACTCTGCCCGCGCACCGCGGGGGGGGGCCAAGGCGAAGGCAGGGCGAGGAGGTCGAGGTTCCGCGCACCGCGGGTGGGCCAAGACGAAGGCAGGGCGAGGAGGTCGAGGTCAAGGTCAAGCCTGTATGCCCGCGAAGGGGCGGCCGCTCAGGGCACAGGCGGGTGGAGACCAGCAGGCGCTCATGCGGTCAAGAGAATCTCCGGGCATGCGCTTCCAAGAGCGTGCGTCTCTGGCTGCTATACTCTCCAGTCACCGATCCCGCACTTGTCGCAGAAGCTCTGGACACCGGACTCCCACGTTTTCCGCGGTCTCCCTCGGGACCTGTTTCTCCGGCAGGTGGCCATGCAAGAACACGAGATGGCCACCTCTCGACGGGCAGGCAGGGCGAGGATCGATGAGCAATCAAAGTGCACCTGACCCTCTGGGAGGAGGCCCACGTTAGGAGGGCCAAGAGCATGAGCATTAGGGACGATGGGCCTTTCTGTTTCTGCAGGTGCATCGGGCCGAACCGCCCAGAGCCAGTATCCCTGCTGCGAAGACGGAGACCGAAGTGAGGCCACGCCTTCGTCTTCATATCGAGTATGGGTTGCTTGTGCTCTCGACGAGAGGACAAGTCCCAGACCCCCTCGGCCGTGGCAAAATCGCGACGAGAAGTTTCTGCCCGTCTTCGGCCTCGAGGGGCCCTCGCCAAGCCCTTGGGCCGTCCACAGAACGGGTCGGGATGAAACATCGGCCTCACGCAAACGTGAGCCTTGGCGAGCGTGACCCTTGGTGCGCCACTGTCGGGGGCCGCGGGGAGGCCAAACCCGAGACCGCAAGACGCTGCGATCTCGCCGCGTTCAGTCATCTGGGGACCCCAAATGCGCCGCAGCAGCGGTCACTCCGGCGAAGGGTCACTCTTTGCGCGCAGCCGAAAACAAGCGGCCCTGGAGGAAGGGTCGGGACTTCTGGACACTCCGTCTTCAGAAAAAATCCGGACATCGGATGTCTGGGCAGGCTTGCCTCGTAGGCGCCCGAAAGGTTCCCCCATGGGCCCAGGCTCAACAACAGGGAAGGATCAGTCATAATCGGATGGGATCGGAACGCACGTCGGATCGAGCCGCATTGGCACAGAGTCCGGATCTGGTCGGACCGGCGGCGCCAGAACGCACAGCAACGCCGTGAGAGCATTGGGCTGCACCGCACCGTCGGGACCTCGGAATCGACTCGGACCGAGCCGGGCCGCGTCAACACGACAAGGACCTGCCGTACCTACTATTACGTATCCCCCTCCTGCTCATTCTCCTCTAAATTCGTCCCCCCCACGCACCCCGTCTCTCGTCGTCGTCCCCCTGCCTCCTCCAACGTCGCCGCCCTGCCTCCTGCGCTCTGCCCCTCCCCCAGTCCTTCCTCTGGCTCCCGGCCAGAAGCGGTTCGAGGCTGCAGCCCATGCCCGAGGCCGTCCACGGCGGCAGCACAACCGAACTCCGGCCGAAACCGACAGGCCGAAAGCCTGGAAGGGCGCAGCGACGCAGCAACGATGTACGGCAACCGACCAAGCCGAACCGACCGAAGGCAGCCGAGTGCGGCGCGGCCGAACCGAGCGAACCCGCGGACACCCTTGCAGACAAAGGGGGACGAGGACGGCGAGATGAGATCCAGCACGACGACGACGGCGAAGACGGCGGCAACGGCGGTTGCGGCGCTGGCGACGCTCTCCGACCCAGACCCGGGCGCGAGCGCGCCGCTGCCCCCCGTTTTCCGGGTCAGAGCTCCGCTGCCCGGCGGCCGGTCGGGACGCTCTCGGCACCACATCTGACCAGCCTGGAACAGATCCCTGTCCCTATTTATGTTCGGCATCGCCTCATCACGATGGAGATCTTGGGGATTCCCGCAGTTTCTGAGGGTGCACCCCTAAGATTGTCGTCGCCTTTCGGCGTGCCACTCTCAGGGATAGGGATAAAAGTTCGAGGCTGGTGAACCTCGGGGCGACCTCGGCGAGGCGAAGGGTGCGGCAGGGCCGCCCGAGGCCGGCAGGCCGCCGGGGGCGTCGGCGCGACCGGCGACGAGGGCGGCGGCGGCAACGCCGTCGGCGGCGGCGGCGGCCGGCGACGGCGTTGGAGGCGGCGGCGGCGGGGGGCCGATCCTCCTCCTCCTCCTCCGCCTCCTCCTCCTCATCCTCCTCCTCCTCCTCCTGCTCCTCCTCCTCCTCCGCCTCCTCCTCCTCCTCGAGCAGCCCCGAAGCAGAAGCAGGGCGGCGAGCGGCGGGGCCTGCGAGGGGCGAGGGCGGCCCCCGAAGCAGAGGCAGAGAGCGGCGCGCGGCGGGGGTCCTGGCCTGTGCAGCTCGCAGGCCACGTCGGCCTGCAGGGCCGGCGACATCCTCGGGCGGCGAGCGCGAGCACCGCCGTCCGCCGCCCGCGGGCCGCCGCCGGCAGCTGTCGGCTCGTCTGCCGCCGTCCGCCGTGCAGCCAGCGTGCGATCAGGCTATGTTTCGAATATTTGCTTATACCATTTTGGAATATGTTTTGGGGGGTAGACGGCCACATGGTAGATATCCCCCCCCTGGGAGCCCCAAGTGGCTTCAGGAAGCCCCAGGTGGGGTCCAGGAGGCCACAGGAGGCCCAGGAGGAAGCCCCAGGAGGCCCCCAGGAGGGAGGAGCGCATCGTGAGGAACGCACGGGTTTTCTGGCCACTGCAGGCCCAGGCCACACACGGGCTCCACGACCTGAATCGAGGGGGCGACCCGACGATCTGGGCCCCTCGTGAGCCCAGAGCGTTGCTCACATCGGCGTCTTCACTGCACGGTGGAAACAGTGGGCCAGGAAACATGAGGAATCCAGAGTATGGGAGCTGGTGAAGCTCCGATCGGGAATCGGCCACGGCTGTGACCGCCGCCCTCATCAGAAGACGAGTCCTCCAGGGTCTGAGACCTCCTGGGCACATTCCCTACCGCAGAGGAGCAAGAGGAGGCTCGGGAGCAGGCTCAGGAAGAGTAAGAGCAGAGGGGGCCACGTTCGATGAACTGGATGGACATCCGCTCGCAGCTCGCAGGAGGAGGAGGAGGAGGAGGAGGAGGAGGAGGAGGAGGAGGAGAGGTAGGGATCGAGGCCACCTGGAGACCTGGACCTCCTGGTCGAAACCTCCTGGAGGCCAACACCCCCACCGCAGCCCGTCGCACAACGTCCGTCGCCGTCGCCCATCTCAGCGGCGCGCAGACACGGGGATGGCGTGAGGGGGGCGGCCTTCGGAGAAGCCAGGGGAGCTCCTGCTGAGGCAGTGCCATTCTGCGAAGGAGCTCCCCCGCATTCTTGGAAGACCACCCCCCCGTGCCACCCCCTTGCGCGCGACGCCGACCATCGTCGTCGTCGTCGTCGCCGTCGTCGTCGTGGTCGTCGTCGCCGTTGTGTTCGCCGTCGTCGTCGTCCGTCGTCGTCGTCGTCGTCGTCGTCGTCGTCGTCGTCGTCGTACTCGTCATCCTCGTCGTCGCCGTCACTGACCATCGTCGTCATCGTCGTCATCGTGGTCGCCGTCGTCGTCATCGTCGTCGTCGTCGTCGTCTCCGCCGCCACCGCCACCACCGACGTTGTCGTCGTCGTTGTCGGCGTGGTCGTCGTCGTCGTCGTCTGGCGTCGTCGTCGTCGTCGACCTCGTCGATCTCGTCGTTCCCACCATCATCGTCAACGTCGTCATCGCCGTCGTCGCCGTCGTCGCCGTCGTCGCCGCCGCAGACCACCATCGTCGCCGTCGTCGCCGCAGACCATCATCGTCGTCGTCGTCATCGTCGTCGTCGTCGCCGTCGTCATCGTCGCAGGCATCGTCGTCGTCGTCACCGCCGCCGCTGCCGCCAGCGTCGTCGTCGTCACCCGTCGTTGTCTTCGCCTGGCGTCGTCGTCGTCTGGCGTCGTCGTCCGTCGTCGTCCGTCGTCGTCGTCGTCGTCGCCTGGCGTCGTCGTCCGTCGTCCGTCGTCAACGTCGTCCTCCGTCCGCGTCGTCGCCGCCGCAGCTCGGAGGGGGGGTTCCGCCAAGGACGGGCACTCGTACTGTCCCTCCTGTTCCTCCTCCCTCCCCTTCCTCCTCCATCCTCCTCTTCCCTCCTCCTCCCTCCTCCTGCTCCTCCTGCTCCTCCTGCTCCTCCTGCTCCTCGTCCTCCTCCCCTCCACCTCCTCCTCCTCCTCCTCCTCCTGCTCCTCCTCCTCCTCGTGCTCCTCCTCCTTCTCCTCTCTTCCTCATCCGCTCCTCCTCCTCCTCTCCTCCTCATCCGCTCCTCCTCTTCGTCGTCGTCGTCATCGTCGTCGTCGTCGTTACCTCCGCCGCCGCCGCCGACGTTGTCGTGGTCGTTGTCGCCGTCGTCGACGAAGGCCATCATCGTCGTCGTCTGGCGTCGTCGTCATCAACGTCAACGTCGTTATCGTCGTGCCGCCGCGGTCGTCGTCGTCGTCGTCTTCGCCGCCGCCGCCGCCCCAGCTGACGTCGTCGTCGTCGTCGGTGGCGTCGTCGTCGGCCGTCCTCGTCGTGGCCTGGCGCGGTCGTCGTCGTCGTCGTCGTCGTCGTCGTCGTCGCCGCCGCCGCCGCCGCCCCCGCTGACGACGTCGTCGTCGTCGGTGGCGTCGTCGTCGACCGTCCACGTCGTGGCCTGGCGTCGTCGTCGTCCTTGTCATCAACGTAAACGTCGTCGGCGTCGTCGTCGTCGCCGCCGCCACCGACGTCGTCGTCGTCGTCGTCGTCGTTGTCGTCGTCGCCCGTCCTCATCGTCGTCTGGCGTCGTCGCCGTCGTCGTCGAACGTCAACGTCAACGTCGTCGTCGTTGCCACCGTCGCCGCCAATATCAACGTCAACGACATCTTCCTCGTAGTCGACGTCGTTCCCGTCGTCGTCATCAATGTCGTCCGTCGTCGTCGTCGTCGTCGGTGGCGTCGACCTCGCCGACCATCGTCGTCGTCGTCGTCGCCGTCGTCGTCATCGTCATCGTCGTCGTCGCTGCCGCCACCGCGGTCGTCGTCGTCGTCGTCGTCGCCGCCGCCGCCGCCGCCGCCTCCGCTGACGACGTCGTAGTCGTCGTCGTCGTCGTCGTCGTCGTCGTCGTCGTCGGTGGCGTCGTCGTCGTCCGTCCTCGTCGCCGCCCAGCGTCGTCGTCGTCGCCCTCGTCGCCATCGTCGTTCTCGTCGCCAACGCCAAAGTCAACGTCAACGTCGTCGTCCGTCCGCGTCGTAGCCGCCGCAGCCCACAGGGCACCCTGCCAACTCTGCGTTCGGAGGGGGCAGCGCGCCGCGTGCATCTGCCCGCGCGAGGGCGCGGGCCCCGCCAAGGACGGGCACGCTTACTGTCCCTCCTCCTCATCCTCCTCCTCCTCCTCCTCTCCCTCCTCTCTCTCCCTCCCTCCCTCCCTCCCTCCCTCCCTCCCTCCCTCCCCACCCCCTCTCCTCCTCCTCCTCCTCCTCCTCCTCCTCCTCCTCCTCCTCCTCCTCGTCCTCTCCTCCTCCTCCTCCTCCTCCTCCTCCTCCTCCTCCTCCTCCCCTCCTCCCCCTCCTCCTCCTCCTCCCCATTACAGCGTGAGCAAGTCTACGCGACACTGCCATCGTCCGCCGCCGCTTCCTCCTCGCTCTTCCCCTCCCCCTCCCACGCCGGCCCACCCTCCGCCGTACACCTTCATTTCGTTCCTCAGCCTTCCCCTCACAATCGTCATCGGCATCCCCCGCCACTCTCATCCGTAGCCTAACCATGGTTCCCTCCTCATCCTCTCACTGGGCCGCCTCTAGCCACACCGAGACATGCCGGCACGCATGGCCCTGCTGTGCTTTGCCGTGAAACTCTGACGAACCAGCCAGCAGATCGAATCAACTGCGTCCTGGAGGGGCGTGGCTTCGGCTGCGAAGAAATTACCTGCAGACGTACCCAACCCATCTGCACCACGTGGCAGAATCACCGGGCTCTTCCGAAACGAATGAACAGTTGAGCGGGCGCGCTGTCCCTGCTGCAAGCTACATGGAGAACCTAAACTGCGCCCCCAGCGAAGCAAGACGAGGCGACACCGAAGAAGTGCTCACTGCAGGTGTAAGACATCCCTCCTCTGGGCCTCCCAGGAGATGACGAGAGTGGCGAGGGCTGCGCAGTAGGAAGCGCCCAGGCTGAGGTCTAGTTCGAGTCCGATTACAGTGGAGGCCCGACCACAAGAAACCTTCCACAAGAAACCCAACCCTGAAACCCGAGGAATTTCATTGATGTTTGATGTGCGAACGTCACGCTTCCCATGGCAAAAGTATGGAGACCCAAGAAACCCAGGGCACCCTGGAGGCAAGCAGGGTATTTCTTGGCATGGGTCTCCACTGTAGCCTGGGTCCGATTAGCACCACGCTCCGCTGGACAACCCACGAGTTCACGACCCTGGACACGGCTGCGCTGTTGGCAGCGCCCAGGCAGGGGATGTCTGCTCTGGGTCGGTGTGGCACCGCACTTCGACGGACCTGCCAGGAGCTCACAAAAGCGAGTTCCTGCTGATCCTCCTCCTCCTGCTGCGGCTTCTCCTGGTGCTGCTCTTCATCATTGCTCCCCGTTCCTCCTCCTCCGCCTCCTCCCTACCCGTTCCTACATCTCCTCCTCATTCGGCGGTCGGGGTGCGCGGGTTCCACATGAAACACTTCAGCATGATTTACCGACTTGGGTTGCCAGCTCTGCGTAGGATTGTCCACCTCATGGAGATATCCAGCATCCTTACTGCCCAGCTTGACGCCATCGTTTTGGCGCCGCTGGGTAGTGGGCTGGATCCGCGCCATTGCCATGTTCAAGGGTCTATACCACCACTGGGGGCGATCTGGTCGTTGTTGTGCTGAGCTGTGGGAATGTGTTCAAAGATCGCCCAACGGGCTTCCAGGAAGGCCCCAAGAAGACGGCCGTGAACAGCTCCAAGAGGGCACCAACGCGGCCCAGAGAGGCTCAACAAAGCGGCCTTCATAGGCGCCAGACGGGCCAAGAGTCCCAGATCCAAGAGGCTCCCAAGAAGCTTGCGGGAAGCTCGATGACCACCCCCGAATCGCGTGATTTGAATTCCTGCGGGGCCGTGGGACAAGTAAAAATGCATGACATTCGCTCTCCCGACGCAACAATCCTTCGTAAAGTACAATCAATTCGCGCCAGCGACGCCACAATCCCCTGTAAATTGCACCACGTTCGCGCCCCCGAAGCCACGATCCATAGTAAAAATCGCCATATTCGCGTCTCCGAGGCCACGAACTCCCGACATTCGCGTCCCCGAGGCAAGTACACTTCGCAAAGTATATAATTCTGGCGCCCCCGTCGACTGAGGCCATTAACCATCGCAAAGTATACCAGTCTTGCGCCCCCGAGGACACACACCCCGTAAATTACTCAAGTATCGCGTCGTTG